TGCATCCGGGGTTTTAGGCCATCGTAAAGAAAACCCTTTCGTGAGATCGCCGTATAAAACTGCCGTCTATATGCAGCATGCAGGCCTTCTCAACAATAAGCGGAACAGTGCAACCATACACCACGCAAATCTCGGCAATCGGCCCAACTGATAGCAGCCAGCTGGTCTAAGGCTCATGGTGGGTTTAACGCACAGTCATCCTTCATCACTACCGAACTGTTGGAATCCCTGTCGGCCGCATGCGATCCCGCCAAGACTTGAGATACATTATCGCCTGAGAGCCTCATCGGCATGAGAGCTGCTGCTGCCCAAATCTCCTTTTTTCTTACGCAAATCTCGCCTTTTAGGGCCTCTGGTATGTGTCGACTAATAGTGCCCTCAATGGTCGAATAAAGTGCTGCAGCAAATGCAACGTTGCAACAGCAGCTTGAGCGCTGCTACGCCATGGTACTAAGGGTTAGTTGCGTATCATCCTTGCGGATAGCATCATGGCCTTGCGCTATGGAGCTCTGTGGTCGCAGCACACACGCCAGCGAAAAATCAATTAACGAGAATCGCGCAACTGTGGTGAGTGTGACGCCGTAAACACCAACAGCGCAATAACTTTCGGCATCCACGATATGACAGCCGCAGAAAGGTAGCTGAGAAGTGAGCTTCCAGCAGCCCCATACGTGCCATCGCCATTGCCACGGGCAGCCAGTGATGTCAAAAACACATCCCACCTCCTCGGCAGCTGTGGAGAGGTCGACCGATAGCCTACTTCTCCGCTTTTGCACGGTGCGGAGATCCAACCCACAGCAATATCAAAGGGCAGCACTTTCCCCTGAGTACATGGGAGGAGTTGACCAAGTAAGCGCCTGCGGCGAATAGAACCCGACACGACAGGCGCAGTCGCTTGCTCCAGCTCAGAAGATGTCAGTCGCCCCCAACGCGCCATGAGGGGCGTCACGTGTCCCCCCGAACGGCAAATCGGGCCGTGAGACGTCCTCGTGAAGGAACTGAGGCCGCTCATTGGCCGTCGATGTGGCCTGCGACAGCACTCACTGCGGAGAGCTCATGTGCTCATGTGGAGAGCTACGCATGATAACACCCAGCTGGAAAACACTTAGTTGGGTAATCAACGGCTCCTGCTACGTCTTCGTCTACTTATTTCTGTATTGCGCACTCCAGTACAGTCCAGGCCGTGTTGTGGCTTACCCAAAGTTTACTGGACCTAATGCGTGCATGAACAAGGCACGACAGGCAGGCATAAATTGTCTTACTTGGCGCATCTAAAACAGCAAAGCCTCCGTGCCTGAAGCACAAAAAAAGCACCAGCGCAGCTTGACGTTGACTGATGCGGCATCAAGTATCGCTCAGGTTTCAGGGGTGGTCGACGCATGACAACGAGAAAGATTCAATATCGAACTATCGCTGGAGATGAACAACAGTATTATAGCCATTGACCAATGCTGCGCAATAAAGCTGCGCTTCTGTCTGCCATGGCTATACTGCTATATGCACCGCACTCCTGGTTAGGTAGGCTAGCAAAAAGGGTTCACAGGAATATCGATGTTTTTTTTAAAATCATTGCTCGAATGGAAGCATGGCTCGTTGCCTTTTACCAAAGGTGCCAAAAGCAAAATGCTGATCTTGTCCATGGTTATGACACTTGTTTGCCCAATGCAATGTGATCTTCCAAATGCTCTTTTATTGTGATATAATTAACTCATACCCCAACCTGACAGAGATTTTGCCTGCCTTGGCTGGTCAAATGCGCCCAGTTGATGAGGCTATACTGTAAGCGTCTAGCTGATGAGGCTATACTGTAAGCGTCAAGCTGATGAGGCTATACTGTAAGCGTCAAGCTGATGAGGCTATACTGTAAGCGTCAAGCTGATGAGGCTATACTGTATACGTCAAGCTGATGAGGCTATACTGTAAGCGTCAAGCTGATGAGGCTATACTGTAAGCGTCAAGCCGACGCGACTTTACTGTAAACGTCAAGCTGATGCGGCTTTGCTGTAAACGTCATTGACGGACCTTGGGATCGGCACCAAAGTCTTGCATTAGATCTTCCTATATGCAACATCCAATTGGAAATGTAAGATCGCCTTTTGAGATTCAGGGTCCATTTACAAATATTATCAGACGATGCACAAGGACCTTTGATTTTTCTTAAATTTTGTGAAAACATTGTTGGGCAACCAGCACTGTTTTACCCGCTTTATCGAAAGTCCATCTAAGATCTGGGAAATTTGTTATGATTTTGTCAAAGAGCTCTTTGGTATCCGGGATCCTTTCGTGGGATCTTGACGCACGTCTTTCTCTGCCGTAGCGTAAGCCTTACCCCGCCGCAGCCAGAGATCCCTCGCGTAAGCTGTAACATCGTCCCCGCTTTGTGCTGTGAAGCCGCCACCCACAGTGAAAGGTCGCACTGTCCGCGTCTGTGGAGTGTAACACCATTCCCTGCTGTGCAATGCGACACTACGTCCCGCTCTGTGTCCGTCACAACGCCGCTCGCCGCGTGTGACGGTGTGGCGGACTCAGAACGGGGCGCGGTATAACTGTCATCTGCCGCTGCAGCGAGCGCCGTGCGATGCTATCTCAGCCGGGTCCTGGGCCGGCCGCCCCCCCCCCCCCCCCCCTCCCCACTGTGCGACGTCTGGCCTCGACAGCCGGCGAGGAATGTCGTGGTGCTGAACGGGAGACAAAGGCTGTTTTGGTCCGGTGTGAAGGAGGGAGTGGTGTTGAATTAAATCGACACCGTATGGCGGGATGCAGGCTGCTTTGGATGACCTCTGCTTCCTGTCGAGCCGCACCTCCGAGGTCAGCCTCGCCACAAGGCCTCCGAGGACTACCACAACGGGCATCGCTGAGGAGAACCTCTCATTTTCGGATAGGATCTCAACGGGTGTCCCTCATAGCGAGGCTTTGGAGAACCTTCCGGCTCTTGAAGTCGCCGTGGGAGACCGGTATTTTTGGAAAATGAACGTGACCAACGGTTTTTCTCGTGAGCGATTCACCCTGAATTTATCATCCAACGGTCTCTGGTGTCAAGGCTTGCTGAAAATTTTAAAAATATAAAAGCAGTTGAAGATTTCGAGCAGCGTTATGCGGATACGTACGACGATGACTAGGTGCGGCAAAAGCTGGACATTTTGGCCATACAAGTGAATTAAAAAACTAACGCATTGACCTCAGGAACTGTATGTCTCTATGATAAATTGTATAAGTCAAGTAGCCTAGTCTTCTATTTCTATCAATTTCAAAGGATAAGTGGTACTGTGAATAATGGCCTGGCAAGCAAGCCAAGCCCACCACTTCAATGCACTTTTCTCGACAGCATAGGTGCAGCACAATCAATAACGAGTGTGCTGCACGAGTAGTGCACGCATACGCATGCAAAACAACAGCTTGAACTACAACACATTTGCTCGCCGAAGGTCAGTACAATACAGTGTCTCAGAAAGCCGGCAGTGGACAGTTTATTGAACAGAGTGTTTGATCGAATTACGAAAGATCCTAAATGACTACCGGTAATGTTTCCGCAAGGGTGGAGTTATCGGCTACACGTTGCCAGTGACTGCCCTTCTCCAGATGCTTTATTAGTATTGTTTTCCAGAGTTCTCTTAACAACTTGAGGCCTCCTAACAAGGGGAACTCCTTGATAACATTGTTCTCAAGGGGAGGGGGGGGGGGGGGCGCGGGTGCACTTGCTGTATCCCTTATGAAATCAGAACACATCTCATATCAATGCAAACATGTGTCTAAAATTGAAAAAAACAACTTAGACGCATTCTGATTATCCAGTATAGAACCTCGCTTCTGTTCCAGAAAGGGCCTTATAATGCATAGAGGGGCCTCATAAGCCAGAACAGGATAATTCCCATCTAACAAGGACTCTCCAAATCTAGCAAGGGGTCTCTTTATCTCAAAAAACATCCTGATCAAAAACCACGGTTAAATGATGCATGAAAGGGGTTATGGAAAATGACCATTCCCAGAAAAGGGGTCTCATACCTCGTAGCAGGGGCTACACGGGCTAGAAAAGGAGCTCTTTAACAGAAAATTGAGCCTCCAGATCTAGACCATGAGCTACCTTATTCATAGCAGTGGTTTCATGATCCAGAAAACGGACCTCTTCATGCAGGAAAGGGTCTTTCTTATCCGATTTGGAGCTCTCTCGCTCAGGTATGGATGCCTCCTTGATCTGAATGCTGGCAATGCACTTGCAGCTACAGAGCTGTAGCTTGTTAAAAAGAGGCTTCACAAAAATATGGGGTGCAAACGCACACAACAGCCTCATCTTTTCCCGCTCCTACCTCCTCTCTGCCGCCCCGACCTGTCTATCAGCGGAGCACCTATCGAAGTCGCAAATTGCCTACGGAGAACATAGTCTAACGTCTTCTGAGCTCCTATTGACTTCCACACCACTTTGCCGTACTAAACCTTGCAATCACAAACTTTCCCTGCTCGAAATTGCATCACCAGTGTTCCTGTACATACTGCATTCAACAGGTCGTCGCAAGCGCAGTTTATTTAACCTGTGGCTTGACGCTCCGTGCAACTGCGCTCTCGCTGCGTGTTCGAAGGCCTCCCGCTGGCCAGCGTCAGTCAGCTGACCACACGCTGTGGCCGTCACCGCTGTTCGTGGCGACCCTGTGCCTGTCGCTGCCCATGGGGCGGGGGAGGGGGCATCTTCGCAGATTGCCGGATTCGTCACGTCTAATCCGTCATGCACGGCCGACGCCGCGCGTGCCGGCAGGGCCCGCCGCGTGTGCCGGCAAGGGTCGCCGCGCAGCGGGTGGGCGCCGCACGCCGCGCGCCGCACGGCGTTCGCCAAACGCCTGCATATGAGCAGATCATGCGGTGGGGTCTCGTGGCAGGAGACAGAGCCGTACCGGCCACGGGACACCGCGGCGAGCTCGGAGCGGTCCTCCCGATGGTACGCGCCGGGTTATGAACTTCGAACGAACCGCTAACCAGCGGTAGAGTTACGACCCTCAGCACAGGCCGAAGAACATGTATTGTGCAGTGCCAGTGAATCACACATAATCGCAGAGACATGGTTTGCAAGTTAACGGGTGTGCAACGACCAAGCTACCACTAACGCTCATGCTCAAACTAGCGACCGGAGGCAGGACAATGGACGTCCTCATCCGACAATAGTGCAGTGAGCCTCAGTAAACCTTAAAACAGATAAGAGCGAGTAGAAAACAAACAGAAACACTGGCAGCTTAGGCGCAGATAACATGAGGCAAGTTGATAGCACAGCCGGAAGAAAACTCCCAAATGCTCACCGACCAATGTTTGAGATTTGTTTGCAAGACTTATATATCCGTGAGTGCAGACTAGCAAAGTATATAAGGGCGTGATGTTTTTTGTTCGTCACTGCTTTGCTTACTCTCACGCTTGCCCAAAACAGCAATTAATGGGGTACAAAACCCAGCAAATGATCAGAGACAAATATTCTGCTCAACTCTGTAGGTGGTAAATTGTGAAAATTGTAGCTCTGGCCAACAACAGTAGAGCAATAAAGTTGCTCATCACATTCTCTAAAATCGCGATTGATGATTGATTGATACGTCATGTGTGTGTAACACCTCAAAAACCTCCTGACGGCATTGTAGTCCGGCGTTGTGAAGACAATGCATCTGCTCTTCTTACCCGGCCTAGCTAAGCGAGCAAAGTAGCATTTGTTGCTATAACACGCGCCCGGGTGGCTGGCTGCATAATCTTCGTTCGGGTGGGGGTCAATTTGATTCTCTACTATTTCAGAAACTAGAAAGGCTAAGAACACCAAATTCACTGGGTGTGTTGGTCTGTTCGTTAACTGACTTGTGTCTAAATTTGAGTCTCCAATGTCTTGACTTTCACGTCAAATAAGGTCAAACAAGAATAAGCCCAAGATTGGTGTCCAAAGCGCCCCAGACCTCTGAACCTAGATACTTGCTCTAAGCAAGAGACCAGTGGTGCACATTTAAGCTCAGCATCTTGTTTGATCTTACGAGGGTCGCGGTGACCAAAATCTTGTAAGACTGTTTTGATTTTGCTTTTGGATAAACCCCAGGGATCACGTTACGCAGTATGTTCTTAAGGAAAAAGTTGACCCGGGCATTTTAAGACATTGACCTGTTCTGATATTTAAGAGAACCATAAAATATGTAAAGCGAGATTCCTGTTTTCAAGAAATAAAAAACGAGCACCAGAAACTGCCGCATATTTCAAGCCCTAAAGAAGTAAAACAGGTTGGTTTTGACGTTGGTCTGATCTACATTTTTGACTCAAGGTCAGTAGCATCGGCTTTAATTCTAAACTTAACTGGTCTATTGCCTAAGAAACTGTCTCCAACATGTATGGCTTCGTGTAATATTCCGTTGTTACATCACATTGTCGATTCCCTAAAAATGCCTTTCACTGACAGCCATGGCCCACTAATGACCTGCCGTAGATCAGCAACCTTACAAGCCACGCCTATTCTTTACATCAAACAATGTGCTATTCAATACTCTGCAGCCATGCAACAATCTTTGCCGCCACTTTCGGAAAGAATTATGGAAAACCTTCGTGAGTCTCAATTTGCCCCCCCCCCCTCCCCGAACCCAACGCGGGGTGCTAAACGGAGTTTGCCAAACTCGAGCACAACACCGTCCTCAGCCTGAGATCCTGAGCCACGACGAGAGCCACTTGGTCTCCTCTGCGTCGTCCGGTGGCAGTGGCCCAGCCCGCCTGGACCAGCTGCTGACTGGCCGCGAAGGCAGAGTCGAGTAGTCGAGTCGGACCGAGTCGGGACGCTCTGGCGCGGACCGACTCGAGTCAGCTGGCGTCAGCGTTGCCTCAGCGTCGTCGGCGGCCGGAGGCTGGCTGTTCTGACCGCTTTCTCGGTGCCGGTGTTTGGTGCAGGGCAGCGCCGCGTGGAACCGGTTGGACATGGAGCCCATCAGCAGGAAGAAGAACACGCCCTGCATCGCACTCAGGGCCTGCAGTGGAACAGACATGGTAGTGCGCGTACCGCCACAGCCGGTGCAAGGACAAAAGGTCAAAAGATAAAATCAGATTAAAAGCACCCAAAGTAAGAAGTAATATGTCATTTATCAACTAAAAATTAAGAGTTCGACACGCGCCCGGTTGACTGGTTTAATATGACTTCGTTCGGGGTAGGCAATTCGATCGGTTTGGATAGAAAATCTAAGAGAGCTGGAGGCATCAAAGTTATAAAATAGATAGGCTTTTCTGTAAAGATATTAGTCCCGCATTGCAAAGCTCCTTGGTCATAACATTTGAGGCAAATAAGATGAAATAAGATCAAATTCCAGATCGATGTCCGAAGTTCCCTCACACCTCCTTGTGCGACCACTTTTAGCCTAGATATATTCACTACGCGAAAGTTCGTTCGTGTTCATTTCGGGTCAGTGATGTGACTCGACTTTTGGAAGGTCACGGTGAACAAAAACCTGCGAGAACGTTTTGATTTTTGAATTCCAGGCAATGTCAAGGCTTACGTTGGGTGGCATGCTCCCAAAGGCAAAAAGGTAATCTGCTCCAGTCAACGTCAGTGACCTGTTCTGACCTTAAAGATGCTGGAATAAAGTACGCAACATAACGCAAGTCGCAGTTCATGACAGCCAGGGCCAAATAATGAATGTATAAGGCGACCCGAATGCTCCCCACCATCAGCAGGCGAATTGGAATTTAAGTGCTCTAACCAAATGGAGCATCGAGACGAACTACCGAAGGAAAGGGAAGGAAAAGGTAATTATTTTGCGTCAAACTTCGGCAGACGTGAACAGATCTTGACACCACCGCGGTAATGAAATGGCGTTTAAAATGAACAACAAGAAATCATAACAACATCGGATTACCCATTCCCTGTTTATAATTGCATCTGAATTATACGTAACATGGGTGACCAGACCACACCATGGTGATTGTTGAATGCATTGTTTATTACAAAAACGTAATTAGCGTTGACACAATACACGAACACGGCCAGTCATGTATTCTTATTGGCTTGAGCTAAATATCAAGGCGCGCTTTACGTCTGAAACTCCTGAGTACGTCAGCGCTGTTTTCCATGCTTTAATCCATGCCGCATAGTTCTGTTCGTGGCATCTCACCTAACCAAAATAATTTCAATACATTACAAAACATCAGCAAGGGGTCCTTCGCATTTTGAATTTGGGATCTTCCTTCCCATATGAAAATGAAACACACTGATCAACATTTAAATTGGTGATATGCTTTGTTATGGTTTGCCGTTCTGTATTCTAAACATGGCGTTTTTATACTGAAGGTGCCGATGCATTTACCTCAAATGCTGAAGTTCACACGCAAAAATAACAAAGGATATCTCCCTTCCCTTCCTTTCCGCAGTTTGCCTTATCACCTCAGCTGGTCAAATTGCCTGCATTCCGACACACCCACTGGTAGCGGGGAGGGCTCGAGTCGCTTTGTGCATCATTGTTTTGCCCCGGACTGCGGACTGCGGCCAGTAACAGCGAGTGCGAGAATGGTCAAGTGACGTAATAGGGTTCTACCCGCAGGGTGGTACGGGCAGTACCAAGCGTTGCGACATGTTGATTGTTCGCCATAAGATTCTACCTTTGACCCGGAGTTTCACGATCGGATCGGATTGGTCAGGGTTCACGCAACGGGCAACAGTTAGCGTGGGTGGCGTTGATCCTGGAAATTTATTTAATCAAAGGGTAGAAATTCAATGTTTCCTCAAATGCCACGACCGATTCCTTCGTTTCTATTTCGTATATCTTGCTGTATTAAAGCCAAATAGCGATGTGTGCCTACTACCCAATCGCCTGATATGCGAGCGGAACAGACTACACAGCAGCTTTTCTCCGCTCACTTCGATTCCCGGCCAGCTTCACTACCATACCGTCCAACGACTAACAGACCGGTCATCAATCACGCCACTCCTCTGACCTGTCTGCTGCCGATGGCATGCATCGGAATCAGGACCGTTCTGAACAGCAGCTTTGTGCTGCGGTGCGGCCCGAGGTTCCAAGATTGACCGCTGAGAAACAAGGCGCACTGGAGCGCGAGGGGACTTTATTTTTGTTTCAATTGTACATGTAGCTATTGCTCGTAACCCTGCCGGTTATCATAACCAGGCTGAACGCAACTCATCGTCTTCGCCACCGGCCCCAGAATATCAAATATCAGCATATTGAGTGACGAAACTTATGTATTACGGAGCAAAACGGAGCCACATTTAATTGCAGGAGCACGATTTGTGATGAAAGAGGTACATAACGACGAAACCGACAGGACCAGTTACGCAATACATGACAAGCACTGCATTCAGCCATGGGTTTTGGATTCAGAACACAACATGAAAGAACACGCACACATAAAACAGAACAAAATCTCCAGTGCACACGCACGTGTCGAATGTATCGTAAGTACCCTCATATGAACTGGGTTGATCACTATAATTGCAATGCTTAATGAATGCTCAACAATCACATCAAAAATTAGGCATCAGCAAGTTTATTATTAGACTTTAGTAATAGTTTTCTGTACATCAGCATCAAAATGAATGATAATTGGCATGGTCATTTTAGACCTACCCTGATATAGACGATACGCGTGTTTCTGGACGAAGTATATATTGGAAAGCAAGGCAGGAAGCTGTCAACGGAGTTTCTTCGAACGTGTTCATCTCTGGCGTCATCCACTGCGACCGATAGCGTTAAATATTAAAATGAACCGCTTCCCAGCTTTCAGAGCGTTCCCGACACTGCGGCCAACGTTACCAAGCGCTGGTCTCGGGGACTGCAGCGCCCGAAACTGTCACCCGATTATACCACCTGCCAACTTATGCCTGAAGTCCCTGAAGCTTCTGGCTGGTACAATATGGCTTTCCTGTGAGTCTTAAAAGCGTATTATACGCCCTGGCATCGTAAAGCTGATTTCACCACCAAAATTACTTTGGGTTAAATGCAAGCAAAAACGCATTGCCTGCTAATCAACTGGAATTTGTCCTTTCCCAACCATTGGACCTTCGTGCTGTAAAAGGTCTAAGAGTTTTTTCACATCGGGCCGATGGGCACCGAAAAAGAATCACATATGATTGTACTATTAAAATTACGATGCAGTTGCTGGCATTGTTACGGCTAAAAACGAAGCAAAAACGATGAAATGTTTCTGGCCTTGGCCATGTTTAGCGGTTGAAAACTACTTTGCGAATCAATTTTTCGCTTGCCTTCAAATCAACATCCAAGCTCGAATTTTTTTACGGGTAAGAAGATGTCTTTTAAGGGTACTTCTTTAATCAATCCACTCCGCCATCCAATGGCCCCTGCCTATAACCCCCCCAACCACCCCATTGCTTACCAGTTGTGCCCGCCCGTTACCGTTACACCGCCCCCCCCCCCGCCCATTTGCACTTCTCCAACAATTTTATTCTGAACTTTGAAAAAGTGTCTGGAATTGTACCCCCCAAAAGTTTGTCTCAGTACGCTAATAATCGCAAAAGTAACGCGAATGCAGCAAAAGGTTTATGACTCGAAGAAGCGCAAACACTAACAACGCGTAGTTTTTTTGAAGCATCTAACCGGTATTTTGTGAAAGTACTACTCATATCCATACGCAAAGCCATCAGTTTGCCAAAATATGTGCGCGACTCAGTCGTCACGCATTCCATATGGGCACTTAAAGCCATAGAACCACCGAAAAGGTTAAGCCCTCTAATCCGCGGGATAAATTCACATCGTATGTCATTCCGTGACATGTCATGACTGTAGCTTCAGACAGCGTTTTACACACCATACGATATCTTGCACAGCATAACGGAGTGTCCATTGCCCTTCTGTTCACATAAGAGACATTTAATAACGAGGCGATCCGTAGATCGTGTGAAGTGACTGGACATTTAACATTTTATGTCATCGAAGCTTTGCCTCAAATGTGGCTACCAAATTTCAGTGCCCCGAACGGTACGGGAAATGCATCTGGAAAAAGGTGCCAAGCGCGCGTTGACTACTTTTACCAACGAGTGTTAAAACCGGCTGAATGCTGGTGCATACATAATATTATTACAATGCACGTTTTCATCCTACCCGTGCATCAGCTAACTATATGCGTTATTCGTCAACTATGTATCTACCAGCGAGCTATTTCGAACTGGGCCAGCTACATCCCGTTTTCGCATTTCGCAGCACGCCAGCACCCGATGCCCTCAGCGTTGTTAAAAGCCGGTGGTTTTAGTCCGCATCCTGCGGCGGCAGAGGACTGACGCGACTAGACTGGCGGCTGGCAGGCCTGGACGACCGGGCCGCCGAATCGGAGTGAGCAGACGCAGGGCGCGATGACTCGGGGCGCGCTGACTCGGGCCGCGCTGACTCGGGCCGCGCTGAATCGGACCGCGCTGACTCGGGCCGCGCTGACTCGGACCGCGCTGAATCGGGCCGCGCTGAATCGGGCCGCGCTGAATCGGACCGCGCTGACTCGGGCCGCTCTGACTCGGACCGCGCTGACTCGGGGCGCGCTGAATCGGGCCGACTCGAGTCAGCCGGCGTCAGGACCGCCTCAGCGTCGTCGGCGGCGGGCGGCTGGCTGTTCTGACCGCCCTCTCGGCGCCGGTGTTTGGTGCAGGGGAGGGCCGCGTGGAACCGGTTGGACATGAAGCCCATCAGCAGGAAGAAGAACACGCCCTGCATCGCGCTCAGGGTCTGCAATGGCCCCGCATTATTACACTAAGCTTCGCTTTGGGGCCGGTGACGTCGCTGTCAAATGTATTTGAAGTCTGAGGCCACCCGGAGTCAAAGCTGTAGTACGATCTTGGCTTGCAAGAAGCCCATAAACGGTGACCATACACAGGTAATCCACCTATGCACTGCCATATATGTACTAGCCTAAGGTAAAACCTGAAATTATAGGGACACCTTTGCACTCAGGTAGCATCTGCTCTCCCCTTGAGAGGACAATGGTGCTATCTGAACTAATCTAACGTGCGTTGCCTTGAAAGGTTTCGTCGATCGCGCCAGAGCGGTTACATCGTTTACCTGAAAGATGAGACGCATACAGGATGCATTCTGATGGAATACCAAAACCAAAAACGCAGCGTCCACTTCTGGCACACCTAAAGGTTCCGAAACCCCCAAAAGGCGCAAGAACAACGCCACATGTGCTCGTCAAATGCACATGAACACCCATTTGTCGTCCCCTCAGTCCCCCAGAGCCCTTCCCGACCCACACGCCTCACCTGAAACAGGCTGTAGACGATGCCGGCCACCTGCGAGTCGTCGCCGGCGAGCGTGACGTAGCTGACCATGCCGAGCACCCAGGTGACAGTGTGCAGCAGCGTGAACCAGCCGTGGCCGGCGCACACCGACAGCTGGTCAAACAGCAGCTCGGAGCGGGCGCGCGCGTGGCGGGCGTTGCAGCGGGCGACGCTGGCGCCGACCAGCGCCACGCCCATGGCCAGCAGCAGAGGCGCCAGCAGCGTGCGCACCTTCAGGTGGGCCCGCCAGCCGATCACGCAGCGCGGGTCGTCGCCCAGCTGCTCCAGTTGCGTCAGCAGTGTGTAGCCCACCACCAGCGACGGGATGCCTGGGCACCCACGTGGGAGCGTTGGTACGCACGAGATGCAAACTCTTTTAGTATGAAAGGAGGCTATCAGTACTATCCAATCCTTTGGCAAGGATCTAACTTAAAACAAGTGCGCGAAGGCCTCTGATACATGTCGACATTCAAAGGCAGTCAAACAACCCGCTAAAAAGCAACTGGCGGGCTTGGTCCGAGATAGAGAACACATCACGAGGCAAAACATGTTTTCGGTTTCGGAAGAAGCGCGAACACCGGGGGAGCACCAGACTGAACAGGGCCGCCTATCGCTCCACTGACCCCAGGTGAAGGCGACGTAGGCGCGGTATTTGCCGTTGACGCTGCCTTCGATCACGGAGCGGAAGTTAGCGTATCCCTCGCACGCCAGCATCACGGCAGCCGCCAGGTAGAAGAACTGCATGAGCGAGCCGAGCGCGGCGCAGCTGTGGCGAGCCTGGCGCACCGTGTCCAGGTCGGCGAGGCACATGCAGACTGCGCCGCCGGCCAGGGCCAAGGCGGTGTGCAAGTCGCATCAGGTGAAACATATCCCGCACGCCACTGCCGGACGGAAAACGACGCGGCTCATTAACGGGGCTGGTATGTGTTTTCGACTGTGTTTCGTTACCATGCAGCGGTTGCATTTGTAACGCACCATAACGCTTACATCATCGCACACTCTAGGCACGACTGCACGAACTTCATGGTGGCGACAATGTCATATTGGTCGCTACGCTTCCATTAAAATTACGTCGTGTGTTTAACCACGAGAAGCGCACCAGTGCCTTTATTGAGCTTGGTGTGAATACACCTCTGCACTAAACGCCGCCCCTACAGCGCCCTGCCGAAGGACAACACAACACTGCCGACAAGCGAATATAAACTCACTCTTTACAACAGATCGTCAGAACGTAGTAGACCAGCAGAAAGATAGAGATGGCGTACAGCACGTATTTGATGGCTTTGGCTGCCTCGTCCTCCGCGGGAATTCTTTTCGGCTCAACCTTTGGGAGAGACACACATCCGTCACCTTACGGCGGGCTGAGTGTGACTAGATCGAACAATAATGCAGCATGTTTATCTTCAGCATTCGTCACTTGCACCGAACTTAGCTTTACTTAAAGGCGAACTGTCAGCAAACGACAGAAAAGACGATTTTAAAGTTATGGCCATGCATTTAATAATGTTTCGAGAAAGCATATCTCGACAACACAATCTACCGCTCAGAAAAAGAATGCCTACAAATCTTGCGCATTTAAGGGAGACCACGTCAAAACTGAGCTAAAGTTTTCTTTCCTTGCGCATAGTATGCTGTTCAGTGCCATGCACATTATGCACATACCATCTCTGTCATGACGGCGTACTGGCCAAAGTTGCTGCAGGAGCACTTGGTGTAGAACTCGTTTGACTCTGTGGCCTCGCAGCCGGTGGGGTCCCAGCCGCCGTCGCCGTCCGACAGACTCGGGTTCCACCACACGCACAGCCGCCGCAGGATCTGCCTCGCGGCGCGGACAGGCGTCGGCAGACATCAGCCAGCACAGCACAGCACATGAGCACAGCAGCTACAGCGAACGAGCGCACAAGGGGTGGTTTGTGTGCAGCAGCGGCTCGGCCTGCGGAGAGGCTGACCCAGTCACAATCATCTCCACTGACAAAAACGCTCAGAACATGCTAGACCTGCGCGTTTTGTGTGGTATATTTATTTACAAGATTTTATTTCTTTACAGCGTGCAACTCACAAAAGTGAGCTCCCTTGACTGCCGTCGAATGAGTCTGACGCGTCTCTGGCGTGGCTGGTGGCCCGCCGCACAGGATTCATGTCAAGACCTCTCCTCTCTCATACGTCTCAACTCACGTCCGTCTTGACTTCGGTGTGGAAGAGCGTCTTGCGGAGCGCCAGCGTCGGCGTCTTGTGGGTGAGCTGGGCCTTGATCGGCGCCCACTGCAGCTGCTCGGGGGTGGGCAGACAGGGACTCCGCTCGCTCTCGGCCGAGTCTCCGACGCCCATTCTCAGCGAGATCACCGAGCTGTCGACGCCGACCAGCTCCTCGCTGTTGGTCTCCATCTCGTTGCTGCGGGAGGAGAGGTGAGAGAGAGTGTGAGAGAGAGAGAGAGAGAGAGAGAGAGAGAGAGAGAGAGAGAGAGAGAGGGAGAGAGATAAGAGGGGAGAGAGGGGGAGAGAAGAGAGAGAGAGAGAAAGAAAAGAGAGAGAGAGAGAGTGAGAGGAGAGAGAGAGAAGAGAGAGAGAGAGAGAGAGAGAGAGAGAGAGAGAGAGAGAGAGAGAGAGAGAGAAAGGTAAGCCGTGGCACCACCGCAAAACAGCGCTGGGATTGATTGTCTAATTCCACGAGGCAAATTCGCGAGCAAGAGATTGCATGACTTCATTGAGTAATAACTGTGGATGAGCGTTTTGTCCTGGCGGATAGGCCGTCTGAGAGTGGATTCTTTCAGCAGCGTAGCAGGGCACAAAGGGAACCGGTGAGCTGTTCAACTGCTGCATCAGAGTCCAGATGGCAAGTGCGATTCATCCCTGTGCGGGGCCTGACACTGTTATGTTCACACCAGTGGGCGGGTAAAAGCCACCAGGTGTGCGAGCCTAATAGAAGATTCACTACATAATGCATGCCACACTCACCTCTTCCGCACGCGCTTCGGTGCCATGTCGCCCAGGGTGTCGTACTTGCCGAACACGATATTGATGGCGTCGTCGCCGCATCCGGCTTTGTTGAATACGGGAGTGGGCACTGCCAAACAGAGTGCGACCGGGGCCGGACAAGGGAAGTTTATGTCCGGAATTTAACGCGTCTACGTGGCAAGGTCTAAAAATGAACCAAGTTTAGCGGGCCAGAAGAGCCGGTCGATCTGGAGACAGAAGCACAGTCACGGCGAGTACGGTAAAGCAACCTCTGAAACTGCACACACTACAGCACCACTTGCCTTCAATGGTGTTGTCCTTTCGGTTCTGCCCCTCCGGAAAGGAGGCGACCTTCTTGTACTTGAAGAAGTCCATCTTCATCTTCTGTATGGTCAGTTCGATGTTGTCGGTCTTCTTGCGCACCAGGATGGTGTCGTTCTCGTCCCGCAGAGGCTACGCGGGTGGCCGACACCAGCGCCCAGGACTCAAACTCGCGTACCATGTCAGCGGCGTCTGGCACAATCGGGGGCGCAGGTCACGCCAGGGGCGCAGCCAGCATCAGCACAGGCCACGGCAGGGGCGCAGCCAGCATGTTCTTAGGGGGAGATGGCGCTGCAGTGTGAAAATCTGTCACGCCAACGTTAACATTCCATCGACGGGGGGCGTCTGTAATGATACAAGGAACAAGGTGAGCATAAGGAGGGATGGGACGTCGGCAACCGACCCTCTCCTTTCTCGGATTACCCCGATGGACAAAGGTGACACGCGCGGAGGTGACATGAGCCATGCACAGACATTGCATGTTTTGCCGTGTCATGTTTAATATATGTTCATGCTAGGCGGCCGCGTGACTGCGGATGTGCACTGCAAAGCTCGACTGCCAGTTAGATATGTTTAAGTCAGACAAACTGACTCCACTGATGCCCCATTATCATACCAGCGCGCACAAGTCATACTTTATCATACAAATTTTGTTAGTCCGATTTTCAGCAGAGAATGCGTAGGATATGCTCGACGAAAAGCATTCACACGTTAAGCCGAGGATGCAGCAATACGAGCGGTGCTTCCAGTGGCGACATGGACGCGTACTGCACGCTTGCCTACTAGGACGCCATCTATGCAATCACTGCTATGCTCTACAGCGCTCTCTACCGGCCGTCATAGTACACTCGGGTGGGCTAGGATGCCCTCACTTGGACGTCCTGTTTCAGCCAACCAAACGCTACCTTTAGTTTTCTTTTCTTTTGCATTCTTGACTTGTTTACCGGCCTTCTGTTTTTGTTTCTTCTTGTCAAGCTCCCTCCATTTTGCTTTGTTATTCTCGCGTAGAAGCATACTAGGTACTTTCACCAGGTTCTGCGAAATGTGGTCAACCACTCAGCGCGCGCAGTACGATGAGACGTGACCGCACCCGGCTTTAGAATACACTCATACCAGTTGGATGATTATCGTCAATACTGGACACGTCAGCTTTAAACTAAATACTTGTCAGGTGCTGGAAACCATGGAAACCATGGAAACTATGGAAACGTCCGTAACAGGAAAACCATGGCCTTGGCCAAACGAAGCAGAGTAAAACAAGCGCGTTGAGCCGCCTGACCAGCATGCTCGATGACTTAGGTCACACTGTCTCCGTTGCAGCTACAAATGCAGGACAATAATTACAGCAAAGGCGTCGAGCTCCTGCGGCGTCTGTTGTGACTTGACCGTGCTCAGGTCCGTCATCTTCCCCATGATGTCGGCCAGGTTCTCCAGCTGATCCACGCCGACCTCGGTCGCCTCGTCTTCATCTGCAAAGCATGCAGTAGACCCGTCGGTCAGCCGTGAGCGGTCGTCAGATAGGGCGTAGTGAGCACAGATCAACAGCCACTGCCATTGGTGAATGCTGATGGCCGTATGCACAGACAGGAAGCCCATGCTGTTGATTGAGTGGTCGGGCATTTGTGTTGGCGTAAAAGGGAAGTACGTACATCAAACTGCGTTCATCGATGGAAACGGAATGAAAGGTAACCAAGCGACGTGCCCTTTGCGTCCTTTACTCACGAAAGCCCTTTACGCACAAAACATTGTCGAGACATTTTCATGTTACTAGATCCACGTATGAGTCGCAGAAATGTGCTTGTACGATTCATGATACCGATTGTGGCCAATAATCTAGATGGTCGGTGCCAGCGCACGGTCTTTCGCAGCTTATATAGGTGGCGCTAGAGGCAGTTGCTTCTCCACAGTAACCACTGAAGTAAACACAACACCATTTTATAACCGCTGTTATGTTTTTGTTTTTTTGGCTACCCACCTGCTATGTACCCTTTCTTTTTACTTCTGTTGTCTCCTTCTTTTTGACCTGGGTGACGACTCCAAATGAACTTTGCAAAAGGCCGAGCCAAACCGATACATTCTCTCCCAGAACACACACCTTATTGGCCAATTATCGCATGCAACTACCACTTGTGCATTTTGACCGCCCCGGTATGCGTCACGCAGTACTCCTTGTTTGGATTGTCCGCTGTCGGGCACCTCACCACTTCGGCCTCGTCTGCCGCCCGTCACCTCACCGCGTCCATGCGATGAGCAGGGGTCAGAGGTCGCTCACCCTCGCCCTGTTGCCCTGGCGCAGGCGGGTCGCCGGGCGCCGTCAGCTTGTGAGGGCCGTCCAGCATGTGGCCCAGGATCCTGATGGCCTCCGACTGCTGGCCTAGGTCCCGTAGGTTGATCTGGCTGACGATGGAGCTGAACTCGGACGTCGACAGCGACGTTTCTGTCACAGACACATGTCGTTTGTCATGTGATTTCATTTTTAAATAGGTGTCGTTTGGCAAGCAAGACAGAAGATGAAATGGAAATGCGTTACGAGGCGATGCGTACAGAAGGATTAGATCAATAACAACCTATGGCATGATGTGAAGACTACAACATATTTCACTGTCTCTCCGCAGAGTAGAATTTTATGCGTATGTTATAATTTACAGCATTTTAAGACGGTTAGGATCTTATCGACGACTGAAGCGACGACCTAGAAGTACACATAGAGACTAACCTATCAAAATAAGACGCAATTCGTTGCTTGAGAGCATGTGCAGCGCTATAGCAGCCTGTGACACATAAAGGAGCCAGAATGCAGACACTCCACATTCATCACATATGATACGGGTATACATGAACACTGCTGGTAATCACATCAAAATGTACATCGCCAACAGTGATCGGTCACAGTATCCAGAATGTCATCACGAACAACACGGCCCACCAGGCAACAGGAGTTACTGATGCTGGTGAACTGGAGTGATAGACACCGCCTGTCTGTATCAGACAGGAAGGCGCCCATGCAGTCTAGAAGTCACCACGCGGCCGCCGTGTCCTCTCACTGTATCCGCCGACGAATCGCGACAGCTCGTCGTCCCGCAGCGCGCGCGTCCAGAAGGCCACCTCGTCCATCTCGCACGAGCAGAAGTCCGAGTACAGGCCGTACGTGCCGGTCTTGTGACAGCCCGCCTGTCAGCGAGCCAGCGCCCTGTCACGTGACTGCTGGCCGGGACCCGGTCTCCATCTCCGCGCGACTCACACCAACGCGGATAGCTGGGCGGCGCTACCTGGTTGGCAGGTTAAGCAGCTTAGGCGCTTTTGCCCGAAAACTAATGTGTTCTGATGCGGAATTCCTTAGGAATTTAGACAGGTGCATACGGGCCAGACGGATGGAGTCTAAAGAGTGGATGCGGACGTGGGCTGGAGGGACCGGTGCTTGCTGCCTTCGCCAGATTAAAAAGAAGCATGCTTTTAAATCTGCTGCCAGCTGTCTGAGCATGGCGAAGGTCCGTTTTTTCATCCTCCGACAACCTCAGCGGATGCATGGAATGCGAGGCGTGGCATACCTAAGATAAGCACCGGCTTTTGCAAGACCCCGCAGTTATTCTGGCTCTGGTGTTGGTTTCTCTGAGAATTTCTTTATAGAAGGATGTTCTGTGCGATGAAATGTAACGGCTCCAGTGAAAGCCAGCCGGGGGCCTATCGAGAACACAACCTACCTCTGTATGAGGCCTTATTGAGCCCTCGTATATACACGTACGCCCTTGTACACGTTTTACGATCCAGTGGGGATCGCAGCTGCTGGGAGGCGAGCCTCACCATCAACTGCACGGGTTCCAGCGGCGGTTTGGCTGGCGATGGTCGGCCGTGGATGACCGCTCCCTTCCGCTCCTGGTTGATGAACAGCTGCAGACCCTGCACCACCTGGTCATCGCCGTCGCCGGGCTCCTGCCAGCGCACTCCTGCAGCGCGGTCGCAAACAAAGGTCCCGATTGCAGAAAGGCGTGAACTGCCGGAAGCTCTGCAGCAAGTGTAAGTTCAGCGGCGACCTCGACATTTACAGGAGGAGAACCAGATTGCTCTGGTAAGATAGTGCAAAGCACGTCAACCGCTCTGTGGTGAGCGACAACGACAATGTCACCTCATGGTGCCATTTCGCGCTGAAGAAAATACACCGTGTGCACTGATAAGCTTTTGAGCTATTATGACGATCTGTGCACTGATATTGCCGTGCTTGTACCCTCCAGCAAATGAAACCGCTGCCCATGCACCAGCCGATTTCTGTCATGCTCCGTTTATATGTAAAACCAACAGACGATGTTGACAGATTTTAAAATCCCGTTTTAAACAAAATGTCTGACGGAGTTTTTAAACCCTGCCAGACAAAACACTGCCGGTTCAGTGAGCTGCACGATATTGGCCACCGCCGATAGGTCGCTGAACCTGTCTCTACTGACCGATGTTGTTCCACTCGTTGTTGACCATCAGGGCGGTGACCGCGACGCGCCAGAACTTGTCTCCAGTCGAGACGATCACGCCCAGCACGTGGTTCTTCACATACACCAGCACGCCCGGCGTGCCCTGCACGTCCCCGCCTGCCGTGCAACAAGGCACGTCAATTGGTGACGTTAGAGTAACCGCCGTCGCCGGTGAGAGCTAATGAATAGGGAAACGCTCTCTGGTGCTATTGGTCAGGTGCCTGATTGGGATTTATCGTTTGTCAAGCGCATGCTCCTCACATTTAACCTGAATGTACATCCAACAGCAAACAACAAAGTATTGTGTGCTATGATGCAGGCTCAGGCTTCGGCACACATATGGCATCTCGTTACACGTCTCACGTCTCACGTCTCACGTCTCACGTCTCACGTCTTACGTCTTACGTCTTGCGTCTGACGTCTAACGTCTTACGTCTTACGTCTTACGTCTTGCGTCTGACGTCTAACGTCTTACGTCTTACGTCTTACGTCTTACGTCTCATGTCTCGTATCTATTGTCTCATGTCTCGCGTCTCATGTCTGGTGTCTCGTGTCTCGTGTCTCGCTGCTCACGTCTCACGTCTCACGATAGATGTAATAATACAACGGCCAGCGCTGCACAGCGTCTGCTCCCCCAACAAATATCCAACTCGGAACGGGCTGCCGAGCCTGGTACGATCGATCGTTTGACCAGGAGCCATCGATCGCTTCGGTTCTCATGACCCCAGCACTCTAAACATGAATAATTCGGGCTCATCGCCGAAGGCACCCATCGACACTGTCACGATATCCCGAGAGTCCCGGTGTAGGCCCACAAATGTCTTCGAAGCGGCATCGCAGGGTCATTTTTAAACAATGCTGTTTCAGGGTGAAGATGCTCGCTTTTGCCATTCAGTCTGCTATCGTATGAAATCTGTTCAGTTCATGAATGCTGAATGACGTTCTTTTCATTGTGAAAGCGGAATAATTGTCTACGTGTGCCAGAAAACAGCTCGCCAAACATTGATCGAGGTTCTGTGAATTTAGCTGCTCTGATACACACAAGCTACTGATGAGGCAGTTCCCATAGTTTCTACCCTCCTCCCATACTTTGCCAGTAATAGCATGCTCTCCCCTCCGCTGGCAATGGGTGGTGACCGTTTGGCAAACCCCAGGCCAGTTGGTTTCGCTTGGCTGCCGCTATGTTTTGCGGAGACGGCGGCGTCCGGGGGCGGGGGATTGGGGAAACTTGCCGGTACTAATCAGGACCTGCCGTGGCAGGTAGCGCGTGCTGCCGATCAGACTGACGTCATAGCGCGCCTTGTGCCATAGGCTGAACGATAATCCGGCCGAGCAGTTCTGTGGGTTCTTGACGCAGGCGTCGTCCGCGCGAGCAAAGTCGCGGTGAACCAGACACTGGAACGGAGTGGAACTGTCAGACCTCGCGGAACGACACCGACAGATCGCTCGGAATGGAACTGTTAGACCACGCGGAAGTAGCCGACAGACCACTCGGAGCAGAACTGCGAGACAACACGGAACGGAACCAACAAACTACTCGGAATGGAACGGGACTGTTAGATAGAGCAGAATGGAACGAAACTGTCTAGCTGCAAAGGGAGCCAGGCTGTTATGCCAAGAGAAACGGGACCACCAAACCATACGGAACGGCACAGAGCTGCCAGACCGCGCGGAATAGAAAGGAACTGTTGGGCCACGCGGGACACAGCAAACTATCGTTTGACGCCGAAAGAAACGGAGCGTTCTGAGTATGCGGGGCGGAACGGAGCTGGCAGGTTACGCGGAACAAAGCGCGGTTACCAGACTGCGGGATGGGAGAAACAGGCAGGTCATTTGGAATGGAATGCAGCCGTCTGAGCCTGCTGGATGAAACGAGTCTGCCAGAACATGCGCGCAGAGGATGGGCTGCCGGACCGCGAGGAACGGAGCGGCATCGTCATTTTGAACTGTAATCGTTCATCTCGTCTCGATGCAGACTAAAGCCTTACGATTTCAAGTGTATGTCTTTCGAGAATGGTGCAACGCTATGTGTGCATCTGCTAATATATATTCACTATTAGTGAGCATTCAGTCAATATGCATCGAGCTATGGCGTGTGACCGTTTTGTGTAATGTTATCACAAACATGAGACCTGTCTGACAACATATAATGCGCCTGTTAAGGCACCCACGTCAATGAAATGGGTTATCGGAATTAATGAAAAGAACCCGACTTGCGCAATGGCCGGCACAAAACAAGCACGGAATCAACACATGTGGGATGGGTTTAGGTAGGATTTAGGATTAACGCACATGGGATAGACACAACATTATCATCATGTGTTGGATTGGCACCTGATTATCATATGTTAGATTGACATAGGACTATCATGTGTTGGGTTGAAACATGATTATCAAATGCTGGATTAACACATAATTATCATATGTTGGACTGACGTAGAATTATCAAAGGCTGGATTGACACAGGATTATCGTATGTTGGACTGACGTATGATGAGCATACATAGAATCGACAACGGATGACCACATATAAAATCAGCACAAAATCAGCATGAAACTTGCGTACACGCGAAGCACATAATCAGCCCCGACGAATATCTTCTGACGAGGACGCCCACTGTCGCGACGTCAGGCTACTCACCATGGCTCCAGGCAGCCTCACGGAGCTCTGGAAGCCGAAGGGACCGTCTCCCAGCTGGAACCCGGCGCTGCCCGGGTACACGTCGGCGTTGGCGTGGATGCTGCCCCAGTGGTAGTCGGCCGAGGCCGTGTACCGCTCGTCTGGTAGGGCACGACACAACGCTTGTCAGGCCAGAGGCCGCGCAGCGCCGTTAGCGACAGTGATTTTGGTCAAGTGGGAGGACCGAGCACCACGTAGATAAAAAAGACATGCTGCGTTAAAATGGTCATGTGTACTTTGTGGGTCGCTTACGATCTTTTAAACGATGGTACAGCTCTCCCATACTACAGTGTGTCCTCCAACTTTCGCAGACAAGGAAATTTCCGTGAGGAAACTTCACACGACGCCTGCCAGGCGAATAGTTTCACCAGGGAGCTGAGGAACGCGTCGTGGCGGCCAACACTCGCCTCGTTCCGTTGTTGTTGTGACGGTTGTGGTGGTCGGCCTGGTTGTCGTGGTTGACATGGTGGTGGTCGTCGGCGGATCGACGGTCGTTTGCGAGTCCGTGGCATTGTCTGTGGTTAGTGTGCTTCCATCGACGCCCGCTGCGGATGACGCCAATCATAGCAATGTAATGTGCCACCTGCGGCCCGTTGCAGCGACCCGGGAAGCCAGGGAGGTGTGGTGCTCAGTGCACAGGGCTCGAAACCAAGCTCCAAATAAAGTACGCGCACGTCCATGCTGGTCGGACAGCACGAAACGAAAAAAACTAATGCACACACACGATGACTGGTGTGGGTATTTCCGTCTTTGCCATACGTTCTCCATGCTGCACATGCCCGGCTGCACTCGCACCCACATAGGAATTCGTTCACCCACATACACAATGACACACATACGCACACGCACGTATGCGGCCACACCGACGCACACCTCTATACGCACGCTTGCATCGCTCTTTCTTCGCTCACGGGCAGCTATCATGTGTTTCTCTCTTCATCCCCCACACGTTATATATATATATATATATATATATATATATATATATATATATATATGTATATATATATATATGTATATATATATATATATATATACACCGGCTGTGCGGCTGCTTACCTCCAGGACCGGGGCCGCCAGTGGCTGGCTCCGCTGACCCCACCTGGTCGGTGTTTCTCTCCAACGCGGAGCACTGGCGCCGGTGTTCCTCTCTTACGCGGAATACTGGTGAGGCCCTGGCCATCCCGACCTCACGCCGGTGCTCCCCTCCTTCCGCAGCCTTCCGACCGGCGCAGTAAGGTGGCTGATTCTGATCTGCCGCCATTCCGAATTGTTGCTCCCGAAGATCCTGTGGAGGAGGGCGAATGTGCATTCTGGATATCTGAAATAACAGTGATCAGCATGGCTGGCTGTATTTTTGTTGGTGAGGCGTGCATCGCGTCACCCTGCCTTCGCTTATGAAAAAGACAATGCAATGATCAATTTTAGCAGGAGTTGCTTTATTACTAGACGCAAACCTTGGTATTTATTTATGACGGAAGTCTATACTCTTTAAGTTAATAAACTATCGTGAAACATGCACGCATATTTATGAGACAAAACACTTCATGTCATGAGGAACGTTTTTATTTTCGGGTGTGCGAGACAAAACACTGAACCATTTCTGGTGCTATCGGCTTACCCTTCTGGGGGTCCTTTACTTCGGTCCGTCTTCCGAGTAATGTGCCTGCAGATGTCACGTATAGATAAGCAGCCTGGTGCCTGCAAAGCTGCAGAGTTCCGGCTCATAGACAGCCACCGACTGGAGACCTTGGAGACGAGTCAACAGCGTATTGTTTGGATGGTCTCTGTGGCGATCCTTTGGCGGTGTGACGCGTGCGACACCTGGCCTCAGGACGGTGATTGGTGGAGGGCGTCCGTTCGCTCTGACGAATGTGTGACCGTCGCAGGTGTGGTGAAGTATCGTGCGCTGTGGACTGGGACTCCGGTGCTCCGTCCCTCCCCGACACCGCAGTCACGAAAGGCATGCCCTAGCTCCGGCAAGCAGTGGCGGGGTTGGACAACCAAATCGAATTATTTTCACGAGGCTTTGTTTCTTCCAGAATGATGTACTGGTAATAGCTTTTGACGAATTCGCACAGATTGTTTTCAGTTCTGTGCTGTTTCTCCGACTAGGAGACCCCTATTTGTCACGTTTTATTTTCCACACAAACGTTGATAAATTGGTTAAGACTGCATAGAATGTGACTAAAACAGTAGGATGCTTAGCAGCAGTGCCGTAAGCTATGAAATAGCGTTCTGGTCTTTAACTAGCCAGCTGGTTATTCGCACTGGTCGTATTGTAAGGCACTATGCAGCCAACACAAGTGGCTAAACTTTTCATTTGAGCTCCACTGAAAAGACTCAGAAGAATGCAATCACCTGATCACTTTGCTCTGCTCTGCGACTCGGGAGATGGGGTCAACAAACAGAAAACCTGGAACACTAATGCCGTTCTAAAAGTCATGGAGCTTTTTATAAACGAACAATCTTGCAAGATGTCTGACCGAATCATACGAGCCGTCAACGAAATGCTGGCCGTGTTCTCCCGTGGATTCCTGATCAGCTCACTAGCGACCCTGTTCGGAGTCATCGAGCAGCTGCTGATCCACTCCAGCGAGAACGAGGAGTACCTCGGCCTGATCTGCCGGATCGTCGCCATGTTCGGACTGCCACTGTGGAAAGAGCGCGAGTCAACCAGCAGCGACGACTGGCAGTACGTGGTCGAGACGGGCAACGTGCTGGGCTGCCTGCTGAAGGAATGCGTCGAGCCGCGGGTGCGGCTGGAGGTATGCCGAGCTCTCGGCGTCATCATCCCAGGCAGGCCTGAGCGGCTCTGCGCCGAGGAGTTCCGCTTCAAGGCCCTCGGCCGCGACGAGTTCCTGCTGGCGGTGGAGGAGAGCAACATCGGTGACTCGCTTATGGAGACGATGCGCACCGTCGACGAGGAGGGCCTCTACATGGAGATGTTGAAGGTGGTGCTGGCGCTGTGCTATCGCTCGACGCGCTGCTGCCAGAACATGGTGACGGCGGCGCTGCCGCACGTCATCACGCAGCGCATGCTCTGGACGGACGACGTGCTCTTCATCACCGCCGAAATCCTGATCCAGATGATGGAGAGCGGCCCGCAGGAGGCCATGCTCGACCAGCTGACGTGCCGCCTGTGCGTGAGCACGCTCCGCTCGGCGCTGCACCACCAGCTTGCGCTCCGTCCAGTCCGTCGGTCAACCGGCAGCTGCGCAACGACATCCTGACGCTGGCCGTATACGTGGCGCGCCTCTGCCCGCCCGTGCCGCTGGTGGAGACGGGGCTGGCGGCCGACCTACTCCACCTTGGCCGTCTACACCGAGCTCAAGTCTGACCGTAACCCGTTCAGCTACCTTCAGCTTACTCACGTCCAGCGAGGACTTCGAGATGAAGAAGCTGCTGCTGGTGCTTCCCGCGCTGCTGCTGAACACGACGGTGACTATTTCGATGCTGAGCGAGCACCAGGTGATGTTGTCACTGCTGATGCTGATATCCAGGGACCTTCCGGCCGTCGTTCGCCTACACCAGCGCCGTAGGCGTGGACGGAGCCGCAGTTTCGCGAGCTGCAGCTGCTGGCCTTGAACACGCTCGCCGCCGTCATCGGCAGCCTCCCCGAGGAGGCCCTCAAGTACAGGGCGGGCACGCGGCTCCTGCTCTACCTCAACAGCTACCTTGAGGGCTGTCCGACTGTCACCGTGCAGCACCTCGAGGCCTGCATGCAGGCGCTCCACAACTCAGCCTCGAGCGGCGAGCTTAGCCTGCTGACCGACCTGGCCGACCAGGACGCCGTCACCATCATGACCAAGTTCTTGCGCCATGAGCGCGTCGCTGGCCTCGCCGACGGACCTCACCGCATGGCGTATGTCTCGCTGGCCAGCGAGTGCCTCTCCATCCTGTCGTACCTCTGCGACGAGGACCCGCACCGTAAGAGTCTGTTCGGCAGCCGAGGCGTGGAGGCGGTGCTGTCCACATTGCTGAAGATGACGCAGCAGCGCTGCCAGCTCGGGCCGCGCTATCACACGGTCATCATCAACGCCATGGACGCCATCTGGTCATGCGTGTCGGGCTGCGCGACTAACGAGCAGGAGTTCCTACTGCGCGGCGGCTGCGACACGCTGTTGAATCTGGCCGACGCCGAGGGACCGGGCCCGCTGAAGCTGCAGGCACTCGGCTGCCTGCTGCGCCTCTGCGACAAGAGCCCGGCGGCGCCCGCCTTCATGCTGCGCTGGCGTGACGCTGCCGGCCGGAGCTGCGTGCAGCTGCTGATGGCGCTCTGGCGCCGGGAGGAGGAACAGCTCGGCTGCCAAACGGACGCCGACGGCATCATCGTCGATTTGGAAAGCCCGCTGCGCGGCGTCCATCAGAATCTGGAGCCGTTCAGCGACGACCCCGAGCCGGTGGCTGTCACGGAGATGGTCGGCAAGATGCGGCCCAAGATCTTCGGCATCATCGAGCACCTGAAGCTTGTCAAGAGCGACGACGGCCCGTTCGTGGCCGAGCTACTCAACATCGACGTGCACGACCAGGTGACGATGGCACTGGTGGAGAACTACCTGGACTTGAAGGAGGGCGAGGTGTGCACCGAGCTGCGCGCGCAGATCGCAAGCCAGGGCATCCAGCCGGTGTACGCCGATCGGCTGCTGCTGGAGGACCTGCACGTGATCGGCCGCGAGAAGAGCTGCGCCGCGCAGAGCCTGCAGACGGACCTGCGCAGCGCCGCGCACCAGCGCGACGTGGCTGAAGAGCGGGGTTTCTTCGACCGGCTGAAACGGCTCGAAATGCAGGAGCTGCTGGCCGTGCGGCGTGTGTCAGAGTACATCGCGCGCACCAGCTGTCCACGGCGTGCTGGCGCAGGCCAAACAGCGCCAGGTGAAGGAGGTGCGGGACTCGACGCTCCACCAGACGCCCGGCAAGTACTACCGCACGCTGCAGGAGTGCACCTGCGTCACCGTCTTCTGCGGCCGCAACGCCGATATCACGCTCACGCCACGCGACGGCAGGTTTAACGAGCCGCAGCCCGAGCCGGAGACGGAGACGGCCACGTCTGAGAACGACACGGGCCGGAGCTAGCCGGCCCGGCTGGAGAGCGGAGGCGGCCCGAGCTGAAGGGGGCGCATCTGAGGCAGACCGAGCCAGGGAGGATGGGCGTTGTATTTGCATAGGCAGCCGTTGCGCGAAGTGAAGGAGTTAGTTGTGAGAAGTATGGGTGACACTGTGATTGTTGTGGTACATCATTCAAGACGTGTTCGGTCGTCCTATCGTCATATCTCGCCATCATGTGCGTTTTCCTTGACCAGTTCGATGTTAGGCTCTGTTAAATGTTGAGTATATAATGCATTGCAACCAAGAGGTATTGATTGCTGAGGCCCGTGCTGTGCTCGTTAAAATTACAGCGTAATTATATCGCCCATAATTAATGTAGTGCCACACGCCGTCTTGGTGCATTTAAAACAAACTTGCCGAACCCAAAGATTTACAGAACGTCATTGGCAGCCATAGAAAGGCTTCGAACAACGAGATGGCGATGATACTGGTTATGTTCTGCGGCGTCACTCGATCGGCTGATTTATGTCACCTCCGAGTCTCAGCAAGCCACTTTTGCCGTGATAAGTGATCGTTGAGCTGCCATATGCCGGAAGTAGCTGGTTGGAAGAGTATGCCAAAAATGGAAAAAATCGGCACGATTATGGTCAGCCACTCGGAAGTGTCGGGGCTCTGCGAGTAAAAAACAAAAAACAAAAAATCTGCGACAACCTAATTCAACATTGTACAACCACCCTCAAACGTAACTGCTTAATGTACAGCAAGCATGTTCCGCGGCCTCAACAGCTGTGAGCTTAGCTGACATCATGTCCAATGGCGTGTACTGAGCTGCGATCTTATATCGTCACATGCAGATGGGTGGGTCGGCTAACAGTGTTCACTCATCTGGATATCCTTCGCGCGTTGGAAAACGTTTACTGCTCCGTAAATTGTAGGCATAATTGATGGACAACATGACATGCGGTCGCTCAGTTATGCCTACAATACTCTTATTTACTCTTGCTGGCTTTGCATCGTGTACAGCATGCGCTGCTTATTACAAAGAAGACAATTGAATCATGTTAGAAAACGTGGTTCGACTCGTTCTTGTTGCGTTTTGCACGCCGCCCGCAGCATTTGCTGTCCTTCGTAGCATTCTTTGTGCCAGTTCAAGCCTTACTATCTTGCTGTGTTATCTAAGTCACTGAAGTGCTGCCCTGTTAAGTTTTTCTTCCCCCTTGCTGGCTTGCCTGCTTTCGCTTCCCAGTCACTCATGTTTTTACCACGTCGTCTGATATAAATGGACCAACAGCATGACACACATTTCGGCCTGGCATGCCGAAAATGAGCGGCCTTCAATATACCATGAGGTACTGGTTGAAAGAAAAAGTCAAGCAATTACTGCAGCATGCCATTAAAAAAAAGCTACGGAATAACAACGAAAAATGACAGCATAATAACTAAGACTCAAATATCGATCGCGACCACGAATACCGCTGGAGATACAAAGCATCCTTTCAGCATGCTCCGATGATTGCTTGTGGTCTTAATGTACTCTTTATCTCCCGATGGTATGCATCACCTTTATAACTTTTGATATGTGTGCCCTCAAAGCGAGTACGCCACCCTCTTACACTTCAGATATGGTTAGCTAATACGCGTCGCGCGACCAGACGCGTTAGATTGTAATATCCGAACGCTCTCGTCGGCGTCAGGAGACCGACGTCCGGTGACCGCTGACGGCGGCGGCCGGTCAGCCCCCGCCTCCGGCGGTCGGCCGCAGAGGCCGCCTAGGCGCGCGCACTTGTGACACACTACAACCACATGATCACAAGCGATCACATGCGTCTTTGATCGGTTGTGGTAATTTTCTCGAATTTTTTTCCTGATAGCTCAGAATTCTGATTCAAAGTAGTCAATCCTCCGGGAGAAATCCCATTGAGCTTCCTGTCCATCACTGCGAAAGTAATGCTTTCACTTGCACTGATTTTGGAACGTGTGGCTTCTGTCAGGTTTGCAAACAATAATTGATCAAAATGCTTCAGCACAATGGGCTACGAAGGCTTGGAACACTCCATATAATGGAAAAGATATACATGTCTGAGGTAATCATCACGTGAAGTCAGGAGCACGTCATACTATGACTAAATGGCGTTTAGCACAGATGTTTTTTCTAAGGACATTTTTACTTTCGAAAGCAGATGTGCCACATAATCTGTGGTGACACCCTGTTTTAAGCTTCAATCGATGCGCTGCTCGGTAAATGGTCTTCGTGACCCTCTGTGCCACTCACAAGCATGCATTTGTATTGACGTCATTCTTGTCGATAGAGATGCTACATTTAAGCTTTGCATTGCGTCGTCTGCCGTTGGCAATTGTCGCGGATTAGGGGTGTATTCGTGGCGCACTAAGGATGTTATATTTTCCTGACGTCAAGAAGTACCCCTGCTGGACGTGTTCGCAGCGTGATACACTTTCTTTTAACATCTCCATAACTTTGGTGACAATTACTGCGTATGCAAGCCACCAGCATTTACACTGTCGTGTACCCCCAAGCTCCTAACAATTTTAACTGCAAATTATGCTATAGGTAACGCCTAGCACACGTTAACGTAGCGCATTGCTCATCAACCGCGTGGTTGGCTGAACCTGGTGAAACTGGTTGCCCAATGCTGGCTGATTTCGATACAGATTCTTCTTGATGTCATGTAGAATCTCTGTCGACTGCGGCACTGCCAGCACCGAAAGGAGCAGAACCTATGGCATACGACGTCACGAACCACAGCGACGGCACCGATTCTTTGCATCCCGGTGCGCTGCGAACACTGAAAAGGTGCAGATGATGTTAACGGCACCCCTTTTGTTCGTCGCCCGAGTCGCTGCACGTACACCCCGCCGCTTTAATCTGAGGCTAGAAGGAAAGAAAAACGCAGCGCTGTGCCAAGACGTTGGCAGCGAGATAAGGACGTGAAAATAATCCCAACTAATCTGCTCGTTATGTCCTGACAGTGCTGCAGTGCCTACAGGTGCAATTATTTAACGTAGCTGGTTTCAGGTTTCACCAGAGCTATGTTTTCAAAACATGTTCCTAAGTTGTGACACTCTTCAGAAACATTGAGGTTTGTTGGTAGACTCGATGCGTCGTTTCGCAAAGCCTTTCACACCATGATGGTCTATGAGAGAGAGCTACATCCTCACAAGTATATTCGGCTATAATTGCGCACGGGAAACAGCAAGCATTAAAAATATATAACGCACAAAATACAAAACACACCAATCGTCTTTGTTGGAGTATCATGAAAACACACGAGCATCACAATAAGCCCACTGTCGTACATAAACTCACCACCGATGGCCACTTATTCCATGAATATGAAACATACACTGTGCCAACTTATCAGCTACTGGGTGAGGTAACTAACGCTTTTTGAGACGACTGGAGCTGAATAGAAAGGCCCGGTTACGTATTCACGTTTCTGAGAGCTTGTTATTAAAGTTGGTATAACCAAAAACATGCTGGAAGCCAGTCGGACTCATGGGTATCGCTCTGTGGGCTCCGCTGAAGCACAGTCCGTGTAGCAGGAATGTTTGTATGTTGCAGGACACTTATACTGTAGATATGCATGTAGCACCACTGTTCTCTTATCAAGGGCGGCTGCTCCAAACTCTAGATGATGATGCCACTTTGTCCGTCTTCCTAGCTAGCACGGTGCCAGCAGGAAACGCGGGTGGCGGTAACTCTAAAACGTTTCCTGTGTGCGAAATAGACATATTTGGCTGCTGGGGACCCTTAATTCCAGCGAGGAGCGCCTGCGTAATGCGGGAGACAACATGTGGCGATAACGACGATGAGAAAAACCGAGGCGTGCCAAATGCGGTACGGCTCAGGATCGCAAACAAAACAGCACCTGGGTCACCTGCCATCAATGCCGCGAAGCCCTCGCCTCCTCTTGGGTTCGTCAAAATCGAAGTCGTTTGGATTGACCGGAAACGGGTCCTCGTCTTGGGAGCCGTCCCCCAGCGGCAGCAGATCCGGAAACAGGAACACAATAACCCACGGGAGCACGAAAACCACTGGCACGAGCGCGCTGACGACCACCTGCATCGCCTCGACGACAGGGCCTCCTTCGGATCTTCGCCGCCGGGCAACGCTCCGATCCCCGGCCGGGGTCAAGGTCGTGTGCACGGGGTCGACGCCAGGCGGCGATCGGCTGAGTCGACCAGAGCGGCGCACGGTGTCGACCGAGTCGGGCGGAGCCTCGTCAGCCAGCCTGTAGAGGGCAGAAGGCACGCTGTCTGAATCGTCACGATGCGAGCTGGTGGCCGTGAAGAAGTGTGCCATTGTCACGGCCCAATACCTAGCGCGCGGTGATGGAGGAGCCGTGCTAGATGAACAAAGCACCGGCGTCTCGTGAGTCGATTAACACGCGCACGGGTATTCGGTTGGATACCCTTCGCTCGGGTGGGGGCGGGGGAGGTCAATTTGACCCCCTTCCCTGAGATCTCAGGAACTAAGAGAGCTAGGGACATCAAATTGACATGGTATGTTGATCTGCACACGAACTCACTTAGGTCCCAGTTTGAGGTTCCTAGGTCATGGGCTTCGGGTGAAGTAAGGTTAAACAAGGCCAAATTTTAAGTTAGTTTCCAAGTGGCCCCTGGAACCTAGAAAACTGTTCTAAGCAAAAAAGGTACTATGCTCATCTAAGGCCAGTTACCTCGATTGATCCTTTGAAGGTCATGGTGACCAAAATCATACAAGACTGCTTGAAGTTTTTCAAATCATACAAGACAATTTAAGTTTTGCATTTGGATAGGTGACAAATATTGCCCTAAGCAGCATACTCATAAAAACGAAATGCTGACCAAGGTCATTTTACGTCAGTAGCCTATTCTGACCATTAAGAATATAACTATGGAAGGTGCATAATGCGGTTTCTGCTGTCAATAAATTTGAAATGAGCACCACAAACCACTCCATACAGCAAGCCCAGTAGTAATAAAATAGGAGAATTTTGACCTTGGTCTGACCTTCATACCTGACCTTAGGGCAGTGTAATTGATTCCTTTTTTTGCTTCAGAAGCTATCTCAGAGATGTATGGCTTCGTCTAACCCTCCGTCGTTGCTTCAGATTGAAAGATTCCCTAGAAATTTCCTTCGCCGAAACCATGGCCTGGCTTTGACCTGTCATAGGTCAGCAACCTTACCAGTTACCTCTATATTTTCGACGCCAAACGATTTGCTATTCAGTTGCCCACAGCTATGCAAAATTTGGCGTTGCGTAGCTGCGTCGTTCGGAAACCATTCCGGAAAGCCCTCGGGGGAGGTCAATTTGACGTACCCCCGCACGAGCGCAGGTTAAGTGTTCGGCTTGCAACCGCGAACATGTGAGTTCGAGGTGCTTATCCGTCCTTTGTCCACATCCACCGCTCCAAACGACGCCCCGTCGCACCGGGATCGTGCTATGGCCGTCAGCAGGGAGCTGGCCTCTCGGCCGCCCCGCCGCTAGTCCCGCCCGGGCGCCTGCGCACGGCCCAAAGTCGGGTCCCTCGGCGGGATAACAATTGCTGGTAGCAGCATCCCATGCTGGCCGCAGCATCTCCCACCTCACTTCTTTCGCCACCTCCATAGCACTAACATGGCCAGTTATTGCCGAAGGGGCTCCAGCCTGTGATAATCCAGACGTCCTGCTAGCTGAGACTCGATTTTCCGCATAATCGGAGTAGCATACTGATATGCTTGTTGCCCTAGCAGTTGAGTGCACGATAAAGTGATCACAGCTTGTTGGCAAAGGGAGATTAGGCACGGTATCTCCCTTATAACTTACAACTAGGACCCGAGAAGAGGAATGAGGGTCCCCGAATGCAACCAGGCCATGAAATATTCTGGAGCCTTAAGTTTAAAATGCCATGGGAGCCAGGGGCATCAAGGACAAGGAGAAGTATCAGCAAAAGCATCAACGTATCCAAAGAAGACACTGAGTTTCCAATGACACCAAAGGTCCCAGACAGCATGGTGTCCTAAAACATCAGCCCTCTCCTAACAATGATTCAACAGTCCAAGAAACATGGTTGCTAGCGCAGATAAAAAGTCCCGTTACCTCCCCTACAAGTGGCGCCTTATTGCATCCTTATAACGCGTCACCGCGTCCCGATGGTCACTTTCTGATGCTGGCGTTACATGCCAAACGACAGCTGCGATTTTGTAGATAGCTTTCACTGCAAATCCGTGTTTGTTTATTTCTATTACGTCGAGGTACAGTCACGGTCAAATAGTCCAGGTGGCACAATGTATGCCACATTTCGTTCATGACCTGCCTGCATTTAATCGCAACTGAGTGGTTTGCATGCATCACAATAACTGCGCCATTCACGCAAAGACACAAAAACCTTAATCGTTTTTCTGTTTTCTAGCATACAAGTTATTGCGACACAACTTTACAACATTACAAACCTGAGTTGGAGAGAATATCGCTTCTGACATTGACCTCATTGTAAGCCACGTAAAACTGATACCCCCTGGCGAAATCCTAGACCATTCTCATATCAACCCTCCCAAGTAAGCATTGAGTGATAGTGGGCTACCGTTCTGAGAAGCATGCCTGAAAAATCGCCATGCGTCATATATCAAACGGAGAATAATGTGATGTGGATGCAAAATTGGTTGAGTGGACACAAACTTGCATGGTATCTTCTTTAAACCCGCTCCCGGCCGGTGGTCCTGGACAACCGCCCCCGACCGGGCTAAGTTGACTTCCCCTGTGAATTCCAACTTCCGGAAACCGTGTGAAAATAACAAAGGTAATGTTGTGAATGTCTCGTCGGATCACGGAGAAAGCACACCAATTTTTTATCTTGGGTCGAATGTGTAGTCACCAGAACTCACGTAAGGTCAAAAACGGTCGTCCTGACAGATGCAGTAAGAGCCTATGTTAGCATGTCAAGTCGAATATTGAGGGAGCGGAAATAATCATTAAGAATGTGGGTAGTCCATTCCAACCATTTTGACTTCTCAGTAAGGGTCAGGTCAGATCGGGTCATCGTTCAACATTGGCCCACCGGTAGGCCTCAAAAACAATGCTTTTCCACAATGTGCTTTTGACTAAGTTCATTTTATTAAATGTAGCTGGACGACAAAAGACTTTCCAGATTCAAAAACACCATTCAACCGTGACGTGCATGTCAGTTGAGGCCACTTCAAACCAAACTTATATGCCATGCAATTGAGAAAAAAAAATACTACTCGGATCTATGTGACGACTACAATGTTTTTCTGTGAGCAGAAATAGTATATTGTACATCTACAGGTGCTCAAGATCTCAAAGCTTTTGTATGCATTATACATAGTCCCCTCGACGCTTGACAATGTATTTGTAACATCCTGAGCGCAGGCACGTTGGTATATCAAACCACAAGTCATCAGCCTCACAAACGCGATAGGAAGGTGGTTATACGCGTCGCACTTGTTCCTCTTTCCTCTCCACTGCTGACCACATGGCTCATTGGCTTGGATGACCTGATTTGACCTTGTATGTCCTCAATGACCTATTGTGACCTTCTCACGCATCTGAATTATATAACAACATGTTTTCAGTGGAGTAGTCGAATTCTGTGTTAAAAATATCTGTCTAAAACTGCTTATTTTGGGCTCAGCATGTCAGCATGCTCAGCAGAAGGCAACCACAGAGGTAGGCCATGACTTGTGCAACGGACTCTGCCCCATTCTTATTTCTCAAGAAAATCAAGACGACGCGTAGTGTGGCATTGTTTTGCGCCCGCCGACACGAAGTGGCTGTTAAAGACCTTAAGAGCTAGGGTTCTTCGAAGCATTTTATTGCATGTGGGTTCTGAACGCGATTTGAAGTTTCAGCTTCTCCATCCCGCAAATGACCCTGCGCGCAAGCCGGACGTGAACAACCCAAAAGGAAACACTTCCGAGTCAGGGCGACGGTTGAGCTCTGAATTGGCGTTCAGACCTGTGAATGGCGTACCCTGCTCAGTGGCAAAAAAAAACGCCAAAAATATTGACAAGCGCCAACTTCAAGCGCGGGTGATAATGCCAAATAAGTAGGTTCAAATGCTAATGGCTGAACAAGACGTTGGCGGAATCTTGGCCCTAGCCAATACCTTGAGACCTGAAATACATGTATCAAGCTAGCAGCATATCTATCAAACCGTCGATCAATATTTCGTGCCGCCACAATTTAGCCAACAATTGACAGGCCAATAAAAACTTGGCCAATGTATCTCAAACTACGAAAAGCTAAGTCGAATACACAAAACTTCGCGCATATATGCCCAATAGTGCCCAAAAATATATGCCCAACATGCCCAAAATATGCCCAAATGCAACTTTTAAAAAGCTTGGTCTACTTGGTGCTGGTCTACGAGCACACATTTTTTGACTCCATCAAAGTGGTCCGCTCTGATTGACCTTGCATTTCAGCCCAAAATGTTTCAGGCAATTGTGAATGCCCACTTCACCTTTTCAAGTCTTGGAACGCACAGGCTTAATGTTATTAGCCTAGCCATTTTTTTAACCAGATCGTGAGAGTCCTAAATATTGATGAACAACTTAATTTAAAACTGCTGCTAGCTTGACAGGCCTCCCAAAACTTGGCTGAGGCTGGAGCAAGCATGCCAAAACGTCCAAGTTCTCGGCGCGCTGCCAGGCCATGCTTTCAATGGGGTAAATTAAGGTAAAATGCTACCGAAATGTTATTATGGATACTCATGCTATCATCAAAAACTCTGCGCAAATTTCGACGGTTGCATGACTGATTACAGGCCTATTTGAGGGCTATCACCTTGGTTTAAAATGTATCGCAAGAAACGACATTTGATCACCATCTGAAATAATGAATTTCGTTTCAGGTGATGCTGTAGTGGGTTCTAAAATCTACCTAGGTGCGGCTCAAACACCTTAAAAGAAGCGCCGATACTGATTTATATATGTGTGCCCATTTGGCCAGTAGTAGCAGTTTTGGGCCGACCGAACTAGCCCCTCACTGTTCCTCTAGTTGGATGGACGGGGGGGGGGGGGGGGCGGCTGATCATACTCCCCCTCCCGTCACGCTTCCTGGAGCTGGTGAGCGCGTTTCTAAGACGCGTGGTTCTGATGCGTAGAAGGCAGGTGACACCTTCCCGAATATATCGTGCTTTTATCAGCTGGCCTGGACGCAAAGGCTCCGGAGCATCCCGATGTGTCTTGGTGCGGACAGCATGGCGCCGTGCTTGTCCACTGCTACGACACTTTTGGTGTTATTGCTGCTTCCTCCGCTTCCGGCATTTTGTAAATATATCATTATCTGGTATCGTGTTGTGCATATGTGTTCTAGTTCTGTTTTACATGAGCTTTGCATCCGGTACATCGCAACGCATGCACCGAAGTTATTAGTTTGTACGGAGTTGTAGTCTTCTTTCATATGGCCCGCATCTCAGACATGGGCGGAACCGTCGGTTTTCCGGACAAGTTGTTCTTACACCAACCTGCTCACCTAATATTGATGGTGAGTTCGAAATGTCGCATATCGTCGTCACGCGTTCAATATTCAGCCAGTTCAGGAGGGTTAAATCGTCAATCAAGACAGGACGACTGTCAAATTTTCAATTCGAGGTCAACATTAGTAGTCTCACGCATGAAGATTACCAACACCGTGACCATACATCATGTGACGTTTAGACTAGAATGGCGGGCAAATGAGTCGAGAATATGCCTTGGTGACCGAACAAAATAAAGGAAAAACATTTGCATGTAAGTTGTTAAGATATTTCGAACCAAGCAAGCACAGTTTGCATTCCAACACGCAGAACGCCTCGAGAAGCAAAACATAAGTATCTAGGAAAACTGGATGGGTATCATTGCCTCAAGAACAACACTAGCGCTGTCCATAAACCAGATGTTGGTAATAGTGGCGCCACCTAAGCTAGCGTTGCAACGCTTGTGCCAAGTGACTTGCAAGTCAAAGCCAAAGCACTAAGATTTAAAAGCACACCTGGAGTATTAGAGACCATACGTTTTGTCTGACGCTGAAAGCGTTTCAGCCGTCTGTACCCTCTCAATCTGCCCAAAGCCTGCCTCTGAAAAAGAACCTTTCCTATGGGCTTGCAATGCTGTGGCTAGTCCAGGCGCCCCGCCGTGACGTCACAGCGGGGTTGCCAAACAAACTTTGAGGGGCCCTGTTAATAAAAACAGCAAAAACGCACGTGACTTTAAGTCGGTGATCTCGCCTGTGCCGTAGAATTCGAAACGTCTAAACTGTAATTTCCATCGTGTTCTGTTGTAAAAGTAAGTTTGAACAATAGCAATGTCCCCAAAAAAGTTATGCGTGGTCGAAAACTTCCAGAGGTTGGCCTTTATGACCTGGCCTAGTTCACTTATCCTGGTAGATAAATATTTAAGATTTTGCATAAATGATGTCAAATTCATAGGTATACGAATGCTGAAAACCTTGTGTTGCCGCACGCGCTTGTTTTCGACCTGTGCTCGAAAAAAAACGTAGAGGGAAAGTCAACTTCGCCCCCCCCCCCTCCGCCAGGCGGGGGTTAGCATCATATACATGATCCATTGAACATCGATCAACAGTGGCAGGCTGTTGCCCGCGGATGACGTCGCTGTAGCCTCATGAAAAAACCAAGACAAACAATGCTGTCCGAAGCAAAGCTAAGGGCGACAGTGTTCTTTTAAGTTCTTAATCCCACTGAAGGAAACAGTACATACATACAGGTGATAAATTGTTGACTATTTTCCGACGCATTACAAAATCTGCTGCGAGGAGCCCATTTACACTGGCAGGTAACTAAATTCCATTATATATCACAGACAGTTGAACGATTCCTAATTGTCAAGTTTTTCCATATTCTTAGTGCTTACAGATAAGACAGTTGTAACAGTCCTATTCCTAGTAGAAAGACCAGAATAGAGAGGTAAATGCGTTGATATTTCGGCAACATGCCTTTATCGAAACGAATATCAGTTCTGATATTCGATATGCTACCGTTTTATCTATTTGCACAATGTTCCTCGCAAATGCATTGAACGGCCTACGTGATTATTGCTATGTAGTTACTGGGTATCAGAAACGGGCTTGAAACAATGGACGACATTCTTCAGATTACAGGCAAGTATCTGAAATATGCTGCTTGAGGTATTGAGATGCACAATCGACATGAGTAACTATAAACTTCCAGAATGAACACAACTGCCTGAATGTGGGCCGCTACGCCACTTTCTGTTTTGATGTCTCCACTCCTGCAAACAGGCTCTCTCATTGTAACCAACACCTCTTCCCTTTCTTGTCCATACGGTAATGACACACTTGGAAACACTTTCTCGCCACTATCAAACCCACTTTTGTGTCATACGTACAGTAATGGCCCTCGTGGGAACACGACAAACATGCGACGCCATGGCGGCAGCTACAACGCACTGCTCTCGTTCAATCCCAGCACACAAACCGCCGCCTGACCAGACGGCGGAGCCCGGCGCGGGAGATAAGGCGCACGCATGCGTCTCGGCACGGAACCAACGGCCCCACGTGCGTCATCATCGAGCCTGGCTCTCACGGCTGCGGTGGACCCCCGCTGCTCACCGCAGCGATCCCGTGCGGCCGGCGTCGCTGGCGGTGGTCCTCCAGGGCTGAGCTGTCCCGCATCCCGTCTGACAGCCGGGGCCGGGCGGCCAGAGGACGCCGGTGGCCGCCTCCAGTGCGGCCAGCACACCAGCCAGCTCCCCAGCAGCTGCGGGCAACGGGTCAGCTGGTGAGCGGCTCCCCAGCAGCTGCCGGCAGCGGGTCAGCTGGCGATCGGTCTGTTGACGCAGTGGCGACAGGAGACCGGAGACAGGTGAAGGGAGACAGGAAACAGGGGAGGTGTTGCCGACAGGGCTGACTTGACGTCAAGCGAGTGCCTCGATTTGTGGCGTGGCGTCTCGTAAGTTGTGGTACAGCTTTGCTTTAGGGCTTTCCCTGAAACTGTAGTTAGAACAGCCGGCAGAGGACAGACTTCGTCGCCTTCAAAGAGTGAGGCGCAGGTGAGTCGTGTCCCTGCGGTGTTTTTTGATGGTATGTTTACATCTAATAAACAAATAAAAGTAATCAGTTTGTCACAGCCATCGAACACCCTCTGCTTTCGTTCGATCTATATCACCCATCTTTGCTGTGACTGAAATTGTTTATCACAAAAAGGCATATTTATCAACTGTCAGCTTTGGCTATGCATTATGCACCCATCAGAGCTAAATCGGCGCGACGCAGCCTACATCGACCGCCATTGGGAGGCCACGCACGCACCTACGCGTTGTAAGTCTTCTCACCAACCAATGCCGTAGTATTTCCGTGACGTGCAATGCATCCCGGTGCTCCCATACGTCCCGCCACGTTCCACGCGCGGCACGACCCATGTCTCACGTCTCATGTCTCATATCTCATGTCTCATACCTCATGTATCATGTCTACCGTTGTCTCATGGTAGGCATAGCGAACGGCATGCGTTTCAGCTAATGACTCACGTCTAGCCACAAGGGGTTTGACGGACATGCGGATGTTGCAGCCAGATGATTGTACTTCACAACGTAAGAAAAAAGCCTGTTACCACAGATGACCGTCTGTCACCCACACCGGCACAGAAACACTAGCGCGTAGCACTCTCTCCGGCTTCACATTTGCGGATACATTATTCCATGCTTTCGGAGAGACGCTAAAGCGAACGCCTACAAAGACGGGGAAGAGCACCACTCAACGCGGAGTCTGATCGCAACGCTGCTGTCGTCTTGTAGTAACAACATAACCAAGTTGATCGGCTCACGCCACTGACAAGCAGCGGCTTCTCCGGACGGGTGCAGGAGCAGCGAAGCGGCAGCGTTTGGCCCCCTTTCTCACGTGGCGTGGACGGCTGAGTGCGTGTTCCGCTGAATTAGAACAGCGTCAACAAGCGGCAACCGAAGTACGGTTATCCGGGTCGCCCCTGATGAGCGCTGGCCATGCGGGTCACGTGATCGGGCTTTCTCTCTCTCCTTCAGTCCTCTCGGGATGTGTACACTGCTCACTGACTGGCACCGGATATCAGACAGTTTCTAATGCACCATCTCTGTTTCAACACAGGCGCGGCACAGCCTCAACGCATACACAGTTTTAAAGAGGATTTCGGCCAGCCCTCCAGCGAGTATTCTGACACAGCATAAGTAACTGAACGAATAACACGCATGTCTCGGAACATCGTATGTCTGCTGGAGCTGAATGATGAAGAGGCAGATATATATATATATATATATATATATATATATATATATATGCATGTGTGTGGGGGAGCGGGAGTGGGTGTGGGTGCATAAGCGTAAGCACATCACGGCTCATTACTCTCACAAAGCTTTCACCTTGAGACAGGTCACGTTCACGAGCAAGGCGCCGCCGTTGTGACTGAGCCGTCGTTGGGACCGATTACACACATCACTGCAGTGGGGTAATGACCGGAGCCAGCACGCAGAGCTCCTGTGGGGCGCCTCAGGGACCACCGGACGGAGCTATTACATCGCAGCGTTCCACCCTGCGTGCGGGCTAGCAGCTCACAGCCGGCCGATGTAGGCGCACGCGATCAGCTGCACCAACAGTTAACGTGGTCAAGACGAATGGGGTCGGGCTCGGATCATTACAGCGGTTGTCTTTGGGATGTGTTGTTGTGTACGGGCCATGCCCCCCTGACTGATGAGGACGCTCGTGATGTTATCGGCACAAATGTTACCCGCCAAAGGGAAATATGAGGCTTTTGGGGCCCGTATTACAAACAGTTTAAACCTTTAAGGATCGAACATTTTTTCAAGTAACAAGAAAACATATGCTGATTCCAAAAAAGTTAAGTAAGGAGGGTAGAAGTCAAATGCATCAACGTTTGTGCTTGAAAATGGTTCTGTCGTCCAAAACAACATTCTGAAATGCACGGGCGATGCCGCCCTTTTGGTGTTAGCATGGTGCTGATTGCAATTGCGCTTTGTACTTTAAAATAAGGATAAGCACGTCTAAATGTACGGAACTAAGATGTGTGTTACCTTATCGCTGAGGACATGCTGTTATAACATTAGACCATTGTGCACGTGAAAATGACAGGCGGCGAGTCATGGAACGGGGAATGAAGCAGGGGGCAGGCGGCCCTCAACCTCAACATTAATACTCAACCCCTATGACTGTAGGTGTGAAAACAACGTTATCCCCATCAGCTTACTCACTACTTGAGTGCTACGCGGCCACCGAGAACAAGTGGCGACATTGTATGAAACTCAAGTGGTTTCGCCCTATAGTATTGGACAATAGCCTTTGATTCCATGTTTCTTTTTTTAAATATTGAAAACCATCTTCGTTCCGACACTAACAAGTTCCGCGATGCCGGCAATCGGCCAGAGCGGTCGGCTGTCATACCGACAGCAGCACTAGACACCGGGCCGGCCCCCCGGCCCAGTAACGCAGCCGCCTCGGGCCGGCGCCGCGGTCGCAGGGGAGTGCCGCGCGGCGGGCGCTGCCGCCGGCGACGCCGCGCTCCCACGCTCCCGCCGCCCGGCCTCGATAGCCGACGCCCGCCAGCTGACTGCGACGGAGCGATTTCGGACGGAGGCGGTGTAGTAGAGCCGCGCCGGCTGCCGCGGGGGGGGAGAGCGCCACGGCCGGGACGCAGCCCTAGCAGCTGGCTTCCGCGACCTGGGCACGCCGTCGGCAAATTGACTGGCCAGTTTTAATAACGGCTGTGGTTCAATGGTGCTGGAGAGCCCTATCGAAGTGCGCGGACGTTCGGCGCATGTCGTATCAGCGCAGACCATCTGGCGTGGCCGGTACGGACCCAGTCCGCTTGCGCAGGAGGCCTGGCGTGATAAACACTAATTGTATAACGAAACTGAAGTCATGAGAATTGCATTTCAACAGAGAACAATTGCGTTTACCGAATGCCAGCTTGATATTTTTACATTTTCGTCATTCGGAATTTCAACAGACAATTCGACATTTGAGTGGGGTTTTGAACTGAGGTAGTCATTTGCAAGACAATTCCCTTTAGTTATAGTTGTGACGTTTTGAACATTTCCTGTAGGAATGAAAGATGCTCTTGATTCGCTCTTCAAAACGCTTGTTGGTTTTGCGGCATTGTGAGTTCAAGGTTCTTATGTTAAGGTAAACGACCCTCAGCGTACGTGGAGGAGGTATGGTTAAACAACGTGATAATGCCAAAAACAATTGGATTAATGGTACTTAAAATATAGAGGAGTGCTCATCTTCAAGAGAGGATAAGAGAGCTGTGCTCATTCACAGAGCTGTGCACATCCTTACTCATTTCTGAGGATAGGCACAGCTCGAAATATTGAGTACCGCCAATGCAATTGCTATATTACGTACTTCGTTTAACTAGCCCTTGGTGGTGTGTATTGAAGAACGTTAAATAAACGTGAACAAATTAAGCCTGTAAGGCTATGAAGATTTCCAGTCATCACGTTTCTGAGCAAAGCGCAAGCGAACTTGAGCAGACTATTTATGTCGCCTATTATGAAGTCGCCAAGAGATGTATGATTTCATAGGGACGTCACACGAATGCCGCCTCTTCACTAGTCATACGGTGTTCAAGGTCAATAAAACTGACCATGGACATATTCGTGTCCAAGAGTACGTCAGCACGAATCGCTGCATCAACCGACGACAGTAGCCAGCTTTGCAATAAGCGTGACACGTTGGTGCGGGTCTCGACCGCGAAACGGCGTGTGTGGCGCTACCATTGGGGCGCTCCCACTAGTTATGACGCAATGAGACTGGGAATCAAATAGCATGAGAAAAACGCAAGTAAAAAACATGTTAGCACGGAAAAAATACGCGAAAACCGCGAGATAGGGCCAAACGATCGCCGGGCTCATCTACGCATTAATTAACAAGCTAATTGGGGCAAATTCAACACTATGAGTCAACTCGTCTGCCCCAGTGGCCAGCCTGCTTGGCCAGTCTGGCCCAGCGCACTCTGACGACATAACGATTGTTCCATGACACGATCGATCGCTAACTTATCGGCGAGCAGTTATAACACTGGAGGTTCTCACCTGGAGCAGTTTCGCACTTACAGGCATACAAATGGTCACAAGTGAACTTTCTCCATCATATCTGATGCTTGCCTCAATATCTGCAGGCGTAGACCATTCCCTTTCAAGATGCATTCCTAGCTCAGGCGCAAGCTGGGTTAACATCATCTCAGCCGAGAGAAGCAGATGACATAAACGCAAAAACGATCTTTTTTCGGACCAAACTAAAGCATGCAAGCACGCAGGCGTGGGTTCCATTGATTGTTCACAGCACAAATAAAATGATCGTCTAATGATCATATAATGGACCAAAATTGCAGAAACACCCATTTTCGGTCATAACCCTCGGTGGGTTGCAAACCGTGTAAAAATAGCCCAACTCAGCTGATTACCAATTAACCGCTCCATGACAACAAACCAGCGAACAGCGCTGTTGGCTTCAGTGGCCCTAGAGAAGTGTGCCACATCTGGATGTTGTCACGGTAGACCCCCGTGATGAACTCCCTTGACTGCAACAGTCGCTGAAAATACAGCTCAAGTTTCCATGTCGGGGCCCGTTACCAATTCCATGCAGGTATCCATATCGTGTTTACGCCGTTCACGTGTTTAACTGGTCCGTGATGGCCTGTAACCCCTTTAACGTCCACTATAAATCATCCTTTCTCTTGGCGGCTCACACAACGAACATAATGTTTTGTTTTCGGCTAGGGCCATCATTTCAGTGAAGGACAAGACAAACGCCATTTTCAGATGTCACATATCGCTATTCCATTCTTTATTTTTTTAGTGTGTTATCGTGGCTCTGGGCAAGAGCATTGCCCGTGCATTTCCCCTGATCATGGGTGCAACCACATCTCTGAGCTCGGGGGAATCATGGCTGGAGTGACCAAAACTGGATTCTGGAAGGGACAATTGGACTAAAAAACAGCATTTGGAGTGGGAAATGGGGAAAATGTTAATCTTGATGGCCACAATTTGAGGACAAAATGGTACTTCGGAAAACTTGGCGGAGACATGTCAGCCCCTCCCCTTTCCCCTCCAGTCCCCCAGCTCCCCCCCCCCCCCCCTCCCCCCGTCCAGAGTTACACCTATGCGCTGGCCATGTCTCTAAGCTGAGTAGCAACAATACAATATCAGTGTGAGCAGCGACATGGCTGGACAACAGATGACAAAGGTTATAAGGGGATGGCTGCTTCTGAAGTAACGGCCTGCTTCACTGAATTCAGCGGACGCCCAAAGAGCGAGCCCTGAGCCCCTGCCCGTGAGGGCAGCTTCAGAGGGCCTGCTTACCTGAGGTCAGCGCGCGTCCGTGGTACCCGCTCTGCATGATGGAGCCGTGCGCAGTGTACGGCCCGTACGGGTAGTAGGGTCATACTGGCCGTAGCGGTTGTAAATTCGCGACGTGTTGCGAACAGACGAGTGAGAAGAACAGGAATACGAGCAGGACTCCGACGAGCAGGAGCGACACGGCCTTGACCGCGGCCGTGGCTAGGCCCGTGGCCACACCGCTGATCAAGGAGTTGGTCAGCGCGCTGAAGAAGGTTGCATTGGTGTTGGTGATGATGATGAGCCGGGGGTCCAGCTCGTCGTCCGGTGACAGCAGTGGCCAGTCGGGGAGGCCGTCGTCCGACTCCCACCGCTGCGGGCCCGGACCACCGGCGGGTCCCGGCGGGGCGAACGCAGAGTCCGGTCCTCCACGTGACCACAGCACCTCAGAGCCCCCACCACTGTCCGCCCCGATCGGCGCAGTCCCTGGTCGTACGGCGGCGTCAGGCTCCAGCGGGCGTGCCGCTGCGGCTGCTGGCCGGCGGAGCCGCGCACGGCGGCGGCCGCGGAGCCGCACAGGAGCGCCAGGAGCCGGAGCCGGAGCCGGAGCATGGCTGGCCTCGCGACGAGAGCCGGACGGCGCCTGGCCACCGGCCACGGCGGCGCGCTCTCTTATCCGGCCGATCGAAAAGCGGTCACGCGCGTCCAGGACGACGCGGAGAAAACGCGGCTGGCAAAAGTCCGGCAAGGAGACGCGGAGGAACGCGACTGGCAAAATTCGGGCGGGAGGGCCGATGGCAGTGCTAGTGTGCCCACGACCCCGATGTGTGTGAGAAAAGTGTGTAGGTGCGGGGAGCAAGCTTCTAGTAACAATGTTGGGCATTAAAATGCCAATGAACATCATCCAGGAAATTACAGCGCGGAAAGGCATAGCACATGCAAGCGGGTCATAAATCGGCGCGTAGATGTGTTAGCATTGTTTTTGAGGAACAAATTTTGGCCCACCAAAACGTGTTTGGTTTTTTGTAGTGATCAAGCACCGTGATATGAAAAAAGGTATCTCAGCTGGCAATGAAACAGCCATACGCAGTGTCACTTCCATTACACGGGGACAGTCACAGCAATAGCAAGCTCATCAGCGAGGACTTATCCGACCAAATACCAACGGAGTCCTAACCAGAATAAAGCGCACTACTAGCTTAATGACATAACCCTACACTGTGTATGCACTAGGTGTATGTCCCATTATACATGAGTACTGGGTCACACCACTCGTGTTGGACAAAACGGATGTGCGGCGTTTCCGGCCATGTCAACGCCAGGCGCCATCTCGTATAGCTCCTGAAATTCTTAGGTTTTGTTTAAATTCAAGAGGAAGGCCTGCCTTCATACAAGCGCGTTGCTATCGGACACACGTTTTTGCAGCTCTCCAGCAGAAAGCTTTTAGCTATACGCAAATAGCTAATTGAGATGGTTGCCTCTGTGCCGGATGTTTTATGAGACGAGTCAGTTTCCATCACATCGTTTCTCATTGCAGACGTTGGGTGTCTCAATCATGAATCTGGATTCAGTATCCTTCCAACGCAATTCAAACACACTGGACACTGGAAGAATCCTCAGAACAACGGGCGCATCGCACGGTTACTGGATCTTCAATCAATCGCTGATGGCTGATGTTCGGTTTAAACGAGCGCAGGTCATTACATCCGTTTAAAAGGCATCGTGAGGGACGACGTTCGATCACCATCTGAAACATTGGACTACTTTCGAAGAGATGCTGCAGTGGGCTGTAAAATTTGGTTGGCTGGTGCTCAGAGTGCCTTATAAGAAGCGCCGCCACTGATTAATGAATGTGTACGCATCTGACCAGCAGTGGCAGTTCGGGCAGATCGAACTAACTCTCCACTGTTCCGCTGGTTGGATGGAAGGGGGGTGGAATGATCGGGTTCCACGTCCCGACACGCTCCCTGGGCTGGTGAGCGCGTTTCTGGGACCCGTGTTTCTGATGCGTAGAAGGCAGGTGACGCCTTCCGGACTACATCGTGCTACTATCAGCTGGCCTGGACGCGAAGGCTCCGGTATATCCAAACGTGTCTCGTGTGACGTGTGACACGTGACACGTGACATGAAACGTGTGACAGCATGACGCTTT